AATGAGCGAAGTGTCACGGGCATCGGGGCGCTGCTTTCAAGCCCGATACACGGTGCACGCTCAGTCCAACCGCACGATTCCGAAACGGGCCCAGGAGCTTTGATGAAGAAGTTGGGCTGCGCCTGCAGTTGCGGAGCTATGCAGAGCTTGCCGACGCGTCGTTTCTCCGGACAACTAATGCAGTTCGCCTGTCGCCTGTCGCTGCCTGACCGGTCAGCTTCTCTACAAAATCCTGTGAATGCCAACCACTCGCAGCTCCAACTCTTCTCGCGGCTGCTGCTAACGCTCAGTAGACCTATGCGGTAAACCCACACCTGCACGCCCTGCCTCGATCTTGTCTGGATCAGTGATCGATTCGTAGCGAATCTTGTCCAGAGCCTGTGTTTGAAATCTTTTGTTTGGGGTTGTGAGGTGGTCTACAAGTGAGGAGCCCACCGCCAAGAATCCATGGATGTCCAGTCCGATGCAATCACTTGGAGCTCGATTCTGAATCACTGGACTTAGTGCTTCGAGCGGCATCCGAGGCATTCGAGATGAGCTCTCGCAGGAAGATCTCCTTGTTGGAGTAGAAGGTATTGATGATCAAGCCTCGGCAACTGGCAGAAACTGTGACTGCAAGCTGTAATGCGAATTGCTTGTCGTGCACATCATGTACGCGGCAGGTGCCGCAGTCCTCCCTTTCGAGCATCTGTTTATGTACCGCAGATCTGTAGCCGGACCACAAAAGCTCTGTCAGTCGCTAAAGATATGCGGATGATACCTGACGGCAAGTCTACCTGATTGGAACCATCCGAGCAACTCATCAGCTGCTGGATGTCTGCATTGAATGCGAAAGTCTCCGCCATGATTGTCCTTGCTTCTGTGACCAAAACAAGCTCGCCCCACGTCCCGCCAAAGACAAGATCACCGGTATCCTCTCGAATGAAAAGTTATTGGCAAAAAAAACCTTCGGTCCGCCCCCATTCAAAGCCAGCAGTCGTCGGAGCTTTTCGAGATAGTCAGACGTCCGTGAAAGGCAAAACTTGAGCCGATGGTGCTGCATGTTCTACGACACATGCCTCAGTCTACTAGCCCGCCAGACACAGCACACGACCCGCAGACCTCGTCTCGACGGATTGCCGGGGTTGGGCACCTTGATGTGCTTCTGGGCAATGTCATCGCACTTTCTCTTCGCAGTCGATCCTCTGAATCAAGTTTCTTCCAGACTCTGCCTGTACAGTCGGCCGAATCTGGAAACGTCTTGGCAGGATCTGCACAAGTGCGCACCGACGGCTGCGGTACGAACTACTCGGTGGCTCAAACATCCTAGTCTCGACTCCTCCTCTTGGAGGCCTCGTCGCCTTCAACTTCCTCAAGCGGCAGGTCGTCGTCGTTTGCCCAGGCCCATCCGTCATCGTCGATGCTCAGGCCGAGCTTGATCATGCGGTGGACGGAAATCCGCACTCAGAACAGAGTCTTGAATCTGACCGAACATGGCAAATGTAGAACGCAAACCACAGATGGACAACCGAAAGCTAGAAAACAACCGCCGTGCAGAGAAAACAATGAGAAAACTGCGAAACAGCAGCCGTGGAGCATTTGTGTGTTATAAAAAGCAAACCAAGTTTCCCTATTTTTGCCTTATAAATTGAAAATCTGTGCGAACTTGGAACTGACAGGATCATGTGAAATTTCAGAAAGCAGAAACTTTGGAAAAGTGGCAAACCACAGAAACCGCAGAACATCTGCAGACAAATGGGAAAAGCTGTGGAACGGATGGACAACAAAAAAAACTCCAAAGAAGCCAGATGAAAACTGTCAAATGCAATGGTAAAGAACTGCCTAACAGTGGTGTGCAAGATGTGAAGAATTTATGTGACAGACCATGGCCAGGCAGGTTGAAGAAGTAACACCTTTTGCTTTTACCAACAAAAAGCAGACCTTCGCCACCTTGCTTGCGTAATTCTGCACGGTTGGCGACGAACACACCAGACTGATCTCCGACGAAACGAAGCTTGTCAAGCTTAACGTCATTGCCAATCCAAGAATAAGAGATCCATTCAGCTTGTCAATCAACGGCACGAAGTTTTTTGCAAGCTGCTAGAAGCTGTGTCGGGTCCCACGATTGCCCACGCCAAGAAGCAAATCTTGCCTGTAGAAAGATGTGAAAAGAACGTAAGAGCCATACCCATACGATGCCTGCAAATGCCAGTTTGGCGTCAAATTTCCTGGGTTTCTTCAAGTTTCCATGCTGCATCTTTGCACTTGCATCCACCCGAAGTTTCTCAAAGCCCACCAACCAAGTCTGGAATCTTTGATGCAAGAACGAAACAGGTTCTGGAATGGCTTCAGTGAATTGCCTGTTTCTCTTGTCAGACATCTGGACTGAACGCGGCCACTCGATCATCGAGCAGCCATGGTGCTGTGTTTGCAAGTAAGAACTTTTAAGCAGGAAAATTTGAAAGGATGGAAGATTCTGAGGACAGGCAACACCCAGAAAGGGAAGAAATCCCTGTAAAGCAGGCATCTGCCACCGAGAGGTTGCGTAGCAGCCGAGAGAGTTTCTCCAGTGAGGCAGGTTTGTGCCCATGGTGCAGGTGAGAGCCGGAAACGCAAAAGAGCCAATCCGAGGTTCAGATTGGACAAGCCAACCTGGAAACCTGCACTTTGGTTCCAAGGAGTCTAACTGGTTGGTGAAAAGAGGTAACTTTGTTCAACTCCAACTCTGGTCTTCTCTTTTTGGCAGCGCAGCAGAGTGTTTCGTGTCTTTTTTCTTTTAGGTTTGAGTCGACTCAACCAAGTTCTGGTTGGAACCCAAACCTAGTCAAGGTTCTCACCTCCAACCCGCCCATTGCTTCTTAGTGAAGAGAAGAAAGCCGAACGTGCACATGTTACAAAAAAGTGGCGTTCTTGTGGTAATTCCCATGTCCTTTTCAATTTCTTGAGCAGGCGTCCTCTCTCTTATATCCATGTTTC